GTTGCAAATCAAGCTGTTGCGAGAAGAAATACACTTCCTGGGAACAAGTATATGAGTTACCAGACAAACGTTCACAAGATACACTTGCCTATCGAGCGGCAAGAACCGAGAAACCGGTCGTGTACTTCCGAGAAATTTCGACGAATCATTCAGATATTACTTATTACGACATATATCCTTATTTGTCCTTGATTCATCAGCAGAGATTATTCATTTTTACATCAATACCACACATAAACGTGCAAACAAATAGCCTTTAACATTAACAGTTAAGTTCATCGATCGATTTTTTCATAGCAGAAATACGGTGAATTGCGAATAGATCAACAGAACCGGAAACAACAATGTTTAGGCTAGAGAAGACAGTGAAACTGGAATGAGAAGATGCACGGTTCACAGTGAACACTGCTTGACTTTTACCAAAGCATGATCGAAGAGCTGAGTTAAGCCAAACGGATTGATTCGACCAAATTCAACGTGTACCAACATAGGACTCGTAAACGAAAAATGCAGTTCTGAGCACACTGAAATTGTTGCAGCAGCTGAAATACGTACACCACTTACCACAACACGAGTCGGGGGACGACGTCCAGCTAAACCTCCTGAGCTGGCCAATCGAACACGGTCTTGTGGTCCATGCTGATCGGACGTATCATCTGATGTTGAGGTACGATGTTTGGGACTGTGATTATGACACGAGTCACTTTTCGTAAAAGGTTCTGGGGAGTAAAGCGCTGGATCGAATGAAGACTCCGCGGTCCCGGTAACCCAACCATCGTTCAGGATAACTGAATTCCCAGTCGGATCGAGTGCTTTCAGGGCCAAGCTGGCTAATTCAGCGCCCAAATTTTGTGAGGACCAAATGGACAGACCAGGAGAGACTGCATTGACTGCGATTGAGTTAGAACCCATGATAGAGAAAGGATAGACGAGTCGGTTGGCAGGTTAGCGGGACAAGGAAATTAACCGCAAAAACGCTAAATGAGGCGTAGTGCACGCACGCACACGCGCAAAAGCAATACACTTAGTTGTGCAAACGTAACAACCGACGAATCAACTGCAACAGATAGTGATCTGATTTATGAGTGAGAGGATGATACACCTGCTGGAAATGGTGATGGAGAATGGAAGAGCTGGCGGAACAAACTGGTGTTTTACTGGGTTTTACGTTTTTAGGCTTGAATGTAAGAAAGAAGACTGATCGATGATGATGAATGCTGGAGAATAAATAGAAACAGAGGGGGACGGCAACAGACAGCGAAGGGCATACAAGAATTTTTGATTTCTATCATTCAACCACACTATCACAGGCGCAACAAATAGAGCCGGGAGATATTACGGAATGAATCGTAACGACCAGACATGTTAATTCTTCCGGTAATAAAAGAGAGTACGTAGACTGGAGGAAATCCGGTCGAAATCAGGCAGGTACGGGGATCAAAACCGACGTAATCTACTTTTTCTTCGAATCAATAGAAGCAGAAAGACAGATTGGGGAAAACAGAAGCATGCACAAACTACCAAACAGCTTTGACGATACTGAAAAAAAGAGAACGACTTAGATCACTATGAAAACTGATCAGAGGAGGCCGAATTAATCGATAGGGTAATAACTGTCTCTGTACCCTTTTCTGACTAACACATTCGAGCATGCATGAAATGCGGACAGGTCTGCTGTAAAATACTGCAACATGATAAGCAACCCTAGCTTAGAATAAATTCCTTAAAGTCCTTTTTACGGACAAGCATTCAGGTTGAAATTCAGTCTGTTTCAAGATAACAACATTTTACGAGAACAAACACACGCACCACGCAGAAGTCGTTATTGTGTTCAGCTGGGGTGTGTGTGCGTGCACTATCGAACAGTGTCCAATAAGGAATGCTGAATGTACAAGACGCTCGACTAAACTCAATTTTAAGGAATAAAAAAGATGAAATTCCAAAGTCAGGGGAGAAATTCAACACATTTTCGAATCCCTGCAAAGGACGAGAGTAGAACATTAACACAAAGGACAAATTTGTTTGTAGGAGAGAGGCAATCGTAATGAAACCTAAATAATGTTTCCGTTTTTCGGAGTAGTTCAAAACGAATATACATGACTTTCCCTGACAATGGGCTTTACACAATTCTTTCAAATTTCACTAAAACCAATCACGTGCACGCAGCCAAAGAATCAAAATGAAAAGCTCGGAATCACTTGTACAGCTGTTTCGACCTGATTCGGTCTCACCAGCCGTGTTACCCCTCAAACCCGATCAACTACCCTGTTGGTCGACAATTTATCTGAGTACATTCCGCATAAGATGTCAACGCTCGATAGCAATCTATTGGACCAAATGCTCCTAAGAAGAACAGAAAAGGATGAAACCCGAAAA